TTTTCTTGAGAACATGCTTTACATGATAACTCATTTGATTGCAAAATTTCACATTTTTTAATGGATGGCCATTAGTATATTGCACAATTTTTCTCATCATGACGGAATCCGGATGACCTAACCTTTCATGCCATACTCTAAAAGTGTTGGTAAACTTCTCGTTTACCGCAACATGCGATTCAGTCATGGTTATCTTTGTGCCATATAATCCAGAGGACATCATTGGTAATTCTTCCAACTGATGTTCCTTCTCCGGTTTAATGCAAAGATATTCAATGCCACTTTTGTTCTTAGTCTCAATATGATACTCATTTCTGTGGATATCTTTAAATCTCAATAAATTTCTATGAGACTTGGGGGAGTATAATGCATCATTTATTTCAAACTATGTACCCCTTAGCAATGAAAAACTTGCTCTTCTGGAGCCAAGTATAATCTTTGTATTTCCTGATATGGTACTCATGCTTCCGGCGGAGTCCTTTAACTTGAGACAGGATAAATATTTTTTATCCTTAAGGATTGTATGTGTCGTAGCACTGTCTGTTATACATATATCTCCATCATGTGTCTCAAATTGTGATATCTTCTGGACAACAATACTTATGAGATGCAATAATTAATCAAAAACATTAACTTTTATAAAACAGTTAATATGTTACATCAAAAACCTTGATTAAAACCGAAATATGTTTCATATTAAAATAAAAAAAAATAGATTAAGTTTTGTTATTCATGTCTTCTTCAGGAAACATAATTATCGATTTAAGTTTCTTTGATTTCTGTGATTCTTCAGGATCAACGAGGAAATCAGCAACATCAAGATGAGTATCATCACTTAGGCCATGGAAAGAGGGTCCGGCTTCATCAAAAACAAAGTTTGTTTCATTACCCTTTTATGATTCTCGGTACAGATCGGTTAGGTGTTTTGGCATACGACAAGTACATAACCAATGTCCCTTTATGCCGCATCTGTAGCAAACAGTTTCTCTTTGCCTTTTGACTTCCCTTTTATAATCATTTTCTTGGAAGTCTCTACTGTTTCTTTCACTGTGGGAATCACTTGGACGAAATCCTCTTCCTTGGCCTCGACCACGTCGACGTACACGGCTGCGACTACGGAATCGACCGCGTCCGCGTCCACATCCATTATTATAATTGGATGATGCTGCATTCACTTCAGAGATTAGAGCAGATCCAGTTGGACGACTTTGATGGTTTATCATCACGAGCTCGTTATTTTGTTCTGCAACAAAGAGGACTTGAATCAACTCCAAATAATGAGTGTAGTGATTCGCCCGGTATTGTTGCTGCAGGACTACATATCCAGGATGGAATGTGGAGAGAGTATTCTCAATCATATCATAATCACTCACTCTATCTCCACATAACATCATCCTGAATGTTTTTGTTCTAATTTTTGCCTCTTCTTCTCCCTATAAATCAAACATTTCTTTGCCATAATGCTTCAGTCACTTCGTTTCTTTTTGTCCAAGTTTCTTCGTTTTTTTTTGTCCAAGTTACTTCTTTTTTTTGTCCAAGTTACTTCAAGGACCACCTTGCAAGGCTAAATACTCTTGGGTGACCGATAGCGAAGTAGTACTGTGAGGGAAGGGTGAAAAGAACCCCCATCGGAGAGTCGCATTGTCTACTATTCCACCAATTAGTAATCCCAGCTTTCAAACTTTTATTACAGCAGAGAGAGATCAACCAGGGCAAAAAGAGAGATAGAATCAGACTGATTCCCTAAATTCATTTCTGGATATTCCTCAATGCCCCGAACATCGCAGAATTATATTCACTCACATTTTTGTAATCCTGGAACCGGAGATTCAGCCACTCATGTCTGGCTTTTAGTAAAATCACATATTTCTAGTGATCAAACATTTCTTTAAGTGATTGCCAGAGATCTGCGGGATCTTCTTTCGTGATGTATTCATCCTTTAAACCATCATGGATGTGGTGGCGTAAGAATATCATGGCTCTCGCCTTATTCTCATCTGAAGTCGTTTTCGACTTATCGATGGTGCTCAAGAGACCACCTCCTTTTAGATGCAAACTTGCACCTACCACCCAAGTCATATAATTCTTTCCACATAATTCAAGGGCGGCGATCTTAAGCTTTGTCAAATTTGACATGATTTCTGAATAACAAAATCTTAACTCATTTAATTTAATAAAAATTTCTTTTGTAAAACTTTGAAAACTTTAAATCATAATAAATGCAGAATTTAAGACAGTAATTTAAAACAATAATTCAAAAGCAATATGAGGAGGCACAACCTACCATACAATTGAGGAAGAGTTCAAAAGCTTCTACTCCATAAACAAATATGGAGTTTTTAAACACCCACTCCATAATAAATCAGGAGGAGGATTAACCATTCACTCCATAATCAATAATGATTCTAGCTAATGTTTATCCTTCCACTACATAATTTAAATAATGAGAAGATATAATCTACCACTTTATAAATAAATAATGAATAAATAAATTCACAAACATAATTTAAAGCATATTTCTAGTAGAGCTATTCGTGCTGATAACATGTTGAATATAAAAAGGAGAGAGAGATGACTTAAATTATAATGGGAGAGAATGAAAGACTTTATTTATGTTCTTTCTTATGTGTTTATAACTTGTATGTTACTTCTTTGTTATTCTCTTTTTTACTATAACCACTTATTTATAGTGGAGTAAGTATACAAACAGTTTTCACAAATATAGAGAGCTAATGACATGTATTATGGTGATGACCATAATAATCAAGTTTAGTGTTTACTTATTGCATGGAATAGACAATTGTCCATAAGGTGGCATCATGATGGATAATCACCACTTTCATATCATCTCTCATATTATAAACTATGATTTATATAGGAAAAGTCATGTTCGAAAACACACCATCATGCCTGCTAACTCGGTGATTAAACGGATTCATCGGCATATTAATTTTGATATAATCAGTCAAAATAAGAAAAAAAAAGCTTAGTTTTTTTTTGCTCTTTTACACATATATTTTAATATATGATAAACTAATAAATTAAAATAGAAATAACAAAAAAAACAAAAAAAAATAATATGTAGAAAATTTGAGTGGCAGTTGCGATGGAAAATTACAGAAGCCCAAATACCCTAAGAGAAAAACAAAACAATTTTATAATTTTGTCATTCATTAAAAAATATAATAAAATAACTCATATGTATTTGCTAAAGATTTGAACTTGAATCATGATCAAAATAAACATTTGTTACCATCAAATCACGTAAATTTAATATTATTTATTACCAACATATATTTTTATACGATATTGATGCAAAAATTAAAAATAAAATTTAAACTAATTTGTAATTCCTGATATATCTATATATAATAATAATTTTTAATATAATTAAAATATATAAAATAAATTTTCAATTATTCTCTGATTTATTTTTAATTTTCAAAAAATTGTTAAACTTAAAGCCATCAAATTTTTGAGAAAAAACAATGAAGAATATTAAAAATATAAATTTTAAAAAGAAATGATTATAAAAAATTTATTTCTTTTTTCTTATTTTTTTAAATGAACTAATCTATTATTAGAAAAAAACATAATATTATTTTATAATAAAATATAACATCATATTATTAATTGAAAAGCAAGTTGTGATGTGGTTGATAGTTACGATGGTTAATTACTTTTAACCCCTTATATGAAAAAGTTTTATTTACCTTTAATAAAATTAACAAATTAATATAATCTAATTTTTAATTGATTTTTCGTTTTTTTTTTAAATTTAGATTTCCAAATTCGAATTTATATCATAAAAATATTCAATTCACTAAAAAAAGCAACTGTCATAAATTATAAAAAAAAATTAATTATTTTCTTAAACTAATATTGATTTGATTGTTTAACCTACTAATATTTTTGACTAACCTAATTGATTTATGCGGCCAAAAGTAAAATCTTAAATCTTTTAAATCTTTTTTTTGTCAACAGCCTCAATCCTTTAAATCCTTTTAAAACCATATATATATTAATTAATGTTAAGCTCATATGAAACAAGGATACTTTGATTTTTGTCATTTTGTATTGCTATGTTTTTTTATGCAAATATTTAATTTTATTAATCTTAATCGGTCAATTTACATCAAAAGAAGAGAATTATTTATTATGTTTAATAAATACAACAAAACAACAAAGCATACATATATGTTTTTACCAGATACTATAAAAAATATTAGAAAATAAGTATAAATAATATATTTTATTTTGTCACAAAAAATAATATATTCATGAAAATTATATTTTTAAAATATATTAATTTTAATTTCGAATAATTATAAAATCTGATTTTCTTATATATATAAATAAATTAATCTTATTACTTTTTAAACTATTTTATTGAATCCAGCACAAGGTACGTGACTGTAATTGGTAAACTTCGTGGAATGGTGGAAAAATGCAATTCCGCAAAAATTTTGCCAATCAGAAAAATTTGCGGAAAAACACCAAAACTCGAGTTCTGCAGAATGGCGAAAATACTTACAAAAAATACAAAAAAAAATTGATTAAATAAAAAAGTGTGTTTCAAGTAGCTTATTTGCAGAATTAATAATTTATATCATTCAATTATATAACTAATTATATTTTATTATTTAAATAAATATATTTATATTACATATATTTATATAATGATCAGATTATATATGTAGATTAAATATTACAATATAATTATATATTTTATAGTAAATAAAAAAATAAAAATAAAAATAAATAATTATAATAAAAGTTTTATTTTTTCTAGTTATATTAAAATTATATTTTTATAATAATTAATATTTTAATTTTTATTATATTAAATTATATATAAAATATATTATTATGATAAACTAATTTTATATAATTTTTATTATTCTACTATTTCACCATTTCGCATAATTTATCTAATCATATCATAATATTTCACTATTCTACATTTCCCCATTCCTGAGTTTTAACTTTTTTCGCCATTCCGCAGTTTTATTATCGTGTTAAATATTGAGATTTTGGAGGAGATTGCTTTAGATGGAAAATGTTTTCCTTTCTAGCAGCTTTGACAGATCGATTCAAATTCTTCTCGTTCTCAGCTCCAATTGCTCTATGGGTACCGAAATTCACTCTTCCTATGGATCTCTCATTCCTAGAATCACAATTTCTCCATCTCCGACGAGAATCTCTACTACTTTTAACTTTTCCAGTTCCGGATACTCGCGGCGGCGACTCGTCTATGGCTGCTCATGCTCCAACCACCAAGTAGTCACAGAGGAACTGTCGATTTCAACGTACAATCGCCGGATCCGCTATTGCTGTAGAACAGGTGGGATCGACGAAGCTATGTCTATCCTGGCCGAATTGGATTCTCTCGGGTCCCATCCCGATCCTCTCTCGTACGTTAGTCTGATCGAAACCCTCAATGGTCTGGGAAGAACCCTCGAAGCCGATGCTCTTTTCCAGGAAGTAGTTCGATTCGGTCTCCATGGAAGCTATCCGTTGAGGTTGTACAACGCTTTGCTCAGTGGGTATTTGAGAAAAGGTCAGTTAGAGTTAGCTCTTAGGGTTTTGGATCATATGGAAATTAAAAATGTCGAGAAAAATCAAGAAACTTTTGAGATTCTCTTGAGTTACTACGTTAGTGCTGGGAGATTGGAGGAATCGTGGCGTGTGGTTAATGAGATGAAGAAGAGAAAGGTCCCTTTGAATTCTTTTGTGTATGGGAAGATCATACGTATGTACAGAGACAATGGTATGTGGAAGAAAGCATTAGGGATTGTAGAGGAGATTAAAGAGATTGGTTTGCCTATGGATGTAGAGGTATACAACAGCATTGTAGATACGTTTGGTAAGTACGGAGAATTAGATGAAGCGTTACAAGTCTTGCGGAAAATGCAAAGCTCTAGTGATCCGAAGCCGAATATAAGCACATGGAACTCGATAATACGGTGGCACTGTCATCACGGCGCGGTAGATACGGCGCTTGAGCTGTTCACGATGATGCAAGAACAAGGGATTTATCCTGACCCTAGGATATTCGTGAAACTTATCACACTTTTGGGAGAGAAAGGGAACTGGAACATGATAAGTAGAAGTTTTGCGTCTATAGAATGTAAGGAACATAGAGATACAAGAGCGATTTACGCAGCTTTAGTTGACATTATTGGTCAGTTTGGGAGTTTCCATGATGCTGAGAAACTTGTGGGTAAGCTCAAGTCAGAAGGTGTGGCTCCTTCAGCTAATATGTTCTGTACTTTGGCTAATGCTTATGCTCAACAGGTTTGTTTCCTCATCTTTCCCGTGTTTCGTCTTCTCGGTTTCTTTCGAATATGACCTGAACTTAGACACTGTCACTAGTCACTATACATGGTTGTTTCAGCTGCTTCCCTTTTGGTATATAGAAGAGTTATAGAATGTTAGCATCTGTAGATGGGTCAGAGATTCTGATAACCATATATATCTGAATTTTCTCTGTTCTCACTTACATTACTTCACTTTTTGATTGTGTCAGCTGTAAGAAGGATTACATGTTTATGAAATTTTTAAAGCCAACTCAAATCATGATTCAATTTGTACGCAGGGACTATGCAAACAAACGGTTAAAGTGCTCAAGCTGATGGAGAACGAGGGGATTGAACCAAATTTGATCATGCTGAATGTTTTGATTAATGCTTTTGGAACTTCTGGGAAGCACATGGAAGCTCTATCTATTTATCACCACATTAAAGAAAGCGTATGTATATTCTAATTCGTGTACGGTCCATGCGATTGAACTTCTAGCACCTCTCTATTCTCATTGTTATATTGCTGATTGAGTTTGTCTTTTGAAGGGATTCACCCCCGATGTGGTTACCTATAGTACACTTATGAAAGCATTCACTCGAGCAAGGAAGTATGAGAAGGTATGTAGTTCCTATCTAATCGCATATTCCATCACCACAAGCGTTTCATTGAGCAAGTTGTTATGTGTTATCTTGTCAAATTGGTCGTTTAAAATCGCTCGCTGGCTGAACAGGTTCCAGAAATATTCAGGGAAATGGAAGCCTCTGGGTGTACTGCAGATAGGAAAGCAAGACAGCTATTGCAAAATGCTCTTATGGTTCTTGACAAAAGACATTAACTATTCCATGGCTCGTTCATCGGTGAGCCCCAACATCTGCTTTGTGCTTAAGAACCAGATCCTTTTAAGGAAAAAACGCCTCCTTCATGCAAATCTTGTGCTTCTTCCAATTTTGAGGCGTAGATGGGAATCAGTCTGAATCGGTAAACAGCTGTTGGCGACAATGTGATTAAATAAGTATGAGAGAAGGAACAAGGATCTGGTATAAACGGAATTGATGAGTTTGTAAGACTGATGAGACTTGAAGAGCAGCAAGATACGAATGATGTTTACTCGTCAAGTGGCTTGGGTTCCGGAGTCTCTCGAGCTTGATATTGCATATGGGATGAGTGTGAGGCAAATGACGTTTTACCATCAAGGCTGATCCGTTCACAACACTTACAGCGTGCGTGAGACTTGAAGGGATTCTTAGGACATCGCAAGTGTTCTTCACTAAAGAGACACTAGTTGCTGGTGTTGGAGTAGATGCATCCACCCATGAACACTAACCATTTTTCCAAGGTGGTTCTTTAGGGGGTCGGTATTGATAAAATTTTATCAATGGGCTTACTCAAGTATTTTGGTTGGGTTTTGCTGGGCTTGTGGCATATTATACTATCTTGAGAGATTTATGGCACTTTGTGAGTTTTGGTTAAAAAAAAACATTTTGTAGAGAAGAGACACTTTGTCTACTGTTGATAATATGTTAATTCGATTCTGTCCTTTCTCTTTCTTTATAATTATCCACATATGTTCATCTACATGGTCGAAATATTTTAGCTATTTATTATAATATACAAGTTTCACAGAGTTCATCCAACAAAATGGATATACAAAATCACATTTAGTTGTCCATAAAGGTTCATTCAGAAAAGATATACAAAATTTGATAGACAAATTCAAACAATACATGTTTGGCTGTCCATGAAAGGTCATCCACGTGAGCATGAGCTTCATCAATCTCAAACTAGTCCAATTAACGTATGAAGTTGTCCACATATGTTCATCTACGTGGTCAGAATATTTTAGCCATTTGTTATAGTATACAAGTTTCACAGAGTTCATCCACAAAAGATGTGCAAAATAGATATACAAAATCATATTTAACTGTTCACAAAAGGTTCATCAACGAAAGACATGCAAAATGGATAGACAAATTTAAACAATACATGTTTGGTTGTCCATGAAGGATCATCTACGTGAACATGAGTTTCATCAATCTCAAATCAGTCCAATGAACGTTTGAAGTTATCCACAAAATTTCATCTACGAAGATTGATGACAAAATATTATGGTTATCCACAAAAGTTCATCCATGTGGTCTAGCAGTTCTAAACATTTGATCTTGTATGAAAAGGATAAAATAATTATTTCGCATAATAAAAATGCATCTTCTCTTCTAAATGCTTTAATTTGTTGTTCAAGTTCGTAGAAGTGACTTAAAATATAATTTTCTCTACTATCTTATCTCATATACGGTTTAGTATTTTAACATTGTTTTGATGTCAGATGACTTGTCTACTACATTAAGGGATTATCTCATCTACGGTTTAATATTTTGGCATTGTTTTGATGTCAGATAACTTGTTTACTACATTAAGGGACTTGAGCCTCACAAAAGCTTGACACTTGAGAAATCCACGGAGTGATACAACAACTCTTAAAAGAAAGAAAATTCATTTAATTTTCATTGATCTTAGTCCGAGAATAGCTGACGTGATGGAATTTGCAAACAGAAGATAGGACAAAGGAAAATTGATCCATGTCTTATTTTGTTTGTATTTTGATTCTATTCTTCAAGACTTCCTTCTCGGTATATTTTTTTATAAAAGGTTTCCTGCAATAAACTTTTGTAGATTTTTTTTTCTGCAAATTTACCTTCAAGTTTTGAAATATGTTAGTTAATCCGCAATATAAATGTTGTCTATATTAATGACATGTCAAATGAAGACAAATAATCCCTGCTAGTGGATATTTTTTGCAAGTTTACACTCGAATTTTGAAAAATGCAAGTCAACTTTTCATATCTTGATCAATCCACAATATAATCTTTCTCTATATTAATAACATGGCAAATGAAGACGTCGTTTAAAAACAACTAGTTTTGGGTTTATTTTTATTTTTTTTTACTCATTAAATATTTTATTTAAAACTTATTTTATTTTTAAAAATATTTTAACTCTTTTGAAAATTTTATTTTAAAGTTATTACTGGGCCAGCTGAATATATTGTTTTATTTTGAATTTCAAACCAAAATTTTAATCTTTTTAGCACATTCGGAATGAGATTTTGTTGTTACTTCAACCCTAAATTTCTTGATTGATCTTCTTTTCTTAATTTTTATCTTCTATTCTTTGCCTTAAAAATCGATGAAAAGTAATTCTATTTAGTCAATTATAACAGATCCATATGAAATAGGTAACATTAATGATATTGATTTGATCATGACTTAGATCATGTGAAAATCATTATCTTAGTACCAAAAAATTAGCCGTTTTGAGCTTGTATACTTTTTATTTAATTAAAACCCATAAGAACATTTCTATTTAGGGAACTTATCACATACTAATATAAAAAACTCAAATAATCTAATATTATTATTTAATATTGTTAAAGATACTATGTGAAATATTCCTAATAGAAATGCTCCAAATAAAGATTTAAATCCAAATAAAACTAATTTTGAGTGAGGGTAACAAAAAAAAATTATAATCTCATCTAACCTCATCTATGAGAATATAAGTCATTTTTAAGAAAAAATAAATCTGAGTTTTAGGTTTTTTGGAAGAAAGTATAGTTGTGTTTTTAAAAGCTTCATAACAATCAAATGTGATCAATTTTCTTTATGTTATTGGCTAGATATCTTTAGATTTCCAATAAAACTATCCAAAATTTTAGATCAAATTAGCAACAATTTTATAATTGGAGGATTTCATCTTTTGAACTTTGCAACAACAACAAAACAAAAAAAGTTCTGTAAACAAAGAATTATAAATGAGTTCAGTTTTAGAAATGAATTAATTTTCATTTGATATCGTTAAAAGTATTCTCTTTCTTCATGACGTGGATTTGAGGAAGAGCGGCTGCAACCCATATCATTGGAGTTATCAATGCACTTCACCATCTAATTAGCATCAACAATCTTACTCTATGTCTCATCATGAGAGATTGAGTATACATACCAGTTTTATTGATATCCTTCCTCGAACATAATCTTAAATTTGATCTTACTTTCTTGTTTCCATTTCTTAAATTGGAATATCTAAGCTTTTATGATCTTCTTTTTCGAAATCAAAAGAATCTTCATATGCGGAAGCTAATAGCCAAATAATAACTTTTTTTTTTGGTCAAACCTTACTTAATTGAAATTGAAAGAAAACGTACACAACGTTACATCTCTTCCACGAGAGAAGATTGAGATAGAGCTAAGGCTGCCTTTGCAACAAGATCAGCAGAGCCATTGTTTAAATGAGAAATAAACAAAAAGCTGATAGATAGGAAGGATGTGCTCAACACGCGGATGTCGTGGAGAATTCATTGGAGTTCAACGGAAGTGCCAGGATCCGTCAGAAGTGCAATGAGGTTTTTGGAGTCTGAGAAACAGTTTATCTCCTTTATACCTAAGGATGCTGCATCCATAAGAGAGCAGCCTTGAGCGCTAACGCTTCTGCAACCAATGCAACATATCGCTCACTCCCAGAGTTCTGAAACAGAGTGACGTCGGATTTGTCTTTATGAACCCATCCCAATCTGCAGTTTCCTGACTTTTCATCCCAAGCTGCATCTACGAAACAGTTGAGAGCCGCTAGGGAGACAGTAGGGTGGCAAGGTTTAATCGAACGAGATTCCATCTTCTTGTTTGGTCGCAGGTCTTGTGCTAGTTGCCATGTCTTCACATCATGTAGTGCTTTGTCCGCTACCTTTTCTGCCGTATAGAGTCTATCTTCAAACAGCAGTTGGTTCCTGCTAGTCCAGAGATTACAGAAAACCCACAGGTATATGGGAGTTGAGGTCAAACATGTTGGTGGGAGATTAATCATGCGGCAGCAATGTTGCAGGAGCTGTGTAAGAGTGACATGCTCTATTGGCGAGGTTTTGTGCAGGACTGGTACTTGGTCCCAAACTCGCACTGCAAACGGGCAATGAAGGAGGATATGGCTCTCACTCTCCACTGCTCCACATCGTTTGCAGGCTGTGTCCACTGCAATGCTCCGAGTAGCCAAGTTCTCCCCTACGGACAGTGCTCTGTTCTTAATCTTCCAGAGGAAGGTCTTGAGTTTGGGGGAGGTCTTCACTTGCCAGATGCATTTGTTCCAGAGGAAGGGAGGCGCTGGTGCTGCCACTGAGTGGATTTTGGCAATCGCATATCCCGATTTGGTGGAGTCTTCACCTGACTTTGCAGGTAACCAAGCAAGTTCATCCGCCATTTGGAATTGGCTGGGCTTGAGCTTTCGAATCAGATCCTCATACTGAGGTAGGTGGAGCCTATTCGCGGCCAAGTTCCATGAGGAGGAGTTAGGCTGCAGAAGTTCTTTTACTAACATCTTCTCACCCTCATGGGTTGGAGGTCCAATGGGGGACATCGGATGGGACGTCGAGAGCCAACTGGTATTCCACACCTTGGTTCTCTCACCATTTCCTATAATCCATCCAAGCCCTTTCTTGAGGATCTCTCTGCCTTCCAGAATGCTTTCCATCTGTGAGACGACGGTGCATTGGCCTTGCATTCCATGAAGGAAGAGATATGGCAATACTTGCCCAGCAGAACTTGAGAAAGCAGAGGATCCGAATCCTTTAGTATGCGCCAAGACAGCTTCGCTAACAGAGCATCGTTGAAAGTTTTGGTTTCCCTGAAGCCCAAGCCCCCTTCACCCTTTGGTAGTGTTAGCTTGTCCTATGAAACCCAACAGAGTTTCTTCTTCTCTGGCTTACTATCCCACCAAAAGCGGGTCAAGACGGACTGGATTTGTTTGCACAGGGAAACTGGAATCTTGAAACAAGACATGGCATATGATGGCATTGCCGAGAGTACCGCCTTAAGGAGGACCTGTTTCCCCGCCCCTGAGAGAAATTTTGAGGTCGAACTATGCGCTTTCTGACGTATGTGATCCACTATGCTTGCGAAGATATCCCTTTTTTTCCTTCCGAAGTGTTCCGGCAGACATAAGTACTTGCCGACACCTCCTTTATTGGGAATATGAAGGTCCTGTTTGGCTCGCAGCTTCACTTCTTGAATCGTTTTGGAGGAGAAATTAATCGCCAATTTCGCCCGGTTAATGCTTTGACCTGAAACTGCCTCATACCTGTTGAGGATTTCCTTGAGGGTGTGACAACTTTGCTGGTTGCTTCTGCAAAAGAACATAGTATCATTCGCAAAGAGTAAGTGGTTCACCGGTAGAGCTCCTCTAGCTACTTTGATTCCCGGGAGGGTCCCATTTCGTTGGACATTGGCACATAGACCCGACATCACCTCAGTGCAGAGTATGAACAAATATGGCGATAGGGGATCGCCTTGTCTAAGCCATCGGGCGGGGTGAACTCTTGAGTACGGAGTGCCATTGATGAGGAAGGAATACGAGACAGAGCAGACGCTTTCCATAATCCAAGAGATCCACTTGTCATGGAAGCCAAATCTTTCTAACACATTTCAGAGGAAAGCCCATTCGATCCTGCCATACGCCTTGCTCATGTCGGTTTTGACTGCCATAGAACCTCTCTTGCTCGCTCCAGATGTACGAAGGTAGTGTAGTACTTTGTGGGTTATCAGGACATTGTCTGAGATGGCTC